AAAAATATTTGTTTTACTTTGTGTAAGAGAGAGAGCTCTAGTTTTACCGTTTCATTAGGTCTTCAATCTATTCCTCAATAGAGAAACATAGCTAATGATGCCCATGACCCATGATGATGCGTACAACTCGGCCTATTTACCTTTTATAAAAGTCTTGAAAGGGCCTTCGGACTGGGAAGCCAGCCCTTCGAATCCTCACTGTCTCCAGCATCCCGGAATAGCGCAGCTGGTTGAGCACCACAGTCTGATCAAACTGGTCTGGCATCTAAAATAAGCAGGTCCAAAATTAATATATATATATATATATATATTATTATAATAGCAATGGTTATCGCCACTGTAATTTGACAGTATTTGTAATGCGAGATGTCAGTGGAAATAAACAGGACTATATATAAATACAAAATGCAAAAAGACTAAGAAACTAGCTGCAGTTTCTTAAGTACATTGTCAGTTCAAAACATGCAAAAAGTTAGCAGCAGCATGGAAATAAAAGGATATTTACAAAACATAGTCTCCAAAATTAGAGTATCTACAGCCATTTAACCAAATCAACTACCCCTTAGTTGACTCCCCCAGGACAACCAAGTAGCTCTAAGTTTGATTGTAGCTCTAAGTTTGATTGTTTTGTTTTTTTAGCAGCTGAATTTTTATTCCCTTGAGATGTCAAATGGCAAAGATCTTAATCTAGCGGTATGATACTGTTTAAGAAAAAAACAAAACCAAAAAGGCAGAAAAGAACGTATGATTTTAGTTTTTCAGATGTAGTGACATTTCATCTTCTGTTGGGAGTGATGGAAATTTGATAGTGATACTTCAAAGCTTAAATAAGCTATATTACAAAGAGCTTCCGTTCCCCACTAATTCTGAATGTCAGAAATGTATTTTTCATCTGTAAACAGAAAAAAAACCACAACTGTTTATATGAAATAAGTGTCCCTTAGTTTGCATGGAGAACTTCTAGCATCTTTCTTTCACTGAAAAAAAAATAATCTCGACCAGGAAAACTCGCAAACAATCATCAGTCATGTTCCCATTCAAGCTCTTAGGATCCTCGAAGTCACCTGTGCTTTAGCCGTCTGCCGAGATAAGCCAGTCTCAGCCACAGCCACACAAAGCTACTCAAGTTAGTGCTAATGACTATCTGACTATCCTGCAAAATGCTAGCAGCGCTGATACTGAAATAACAGCACATGTAAATATGCTGCTCAATTCTGCAGCTCAGCCGTCCACCCAAACACAGCACTTTGCCCTCCTGCACAGCGATTTGCAGGATTTGAGCACAGAGCAAGAATAATGCAGAAAGCAGGAGCATCTCACAGACACAGCACAGGGCTGGTGTATACGAAAGCTGGTGTAGCTCCCACTGCAGGCAGTGCCATTTCTTCAACTAATGCAAGAAGCATCAAGGTCAACTTTCAACCATTGTAAATCAGAGGGCTCTTCTGTAAACTGGCTTTATTGATGCTTCTTGTTCAACTAAACAGCTCCCCAAATTTTAAATCACCAGAAGTAATTTTAGGAAACCACAGACTCGAAAGTCACTTTAAACTACCCAAACCAAACTTCTCCACTGGCCTCTGCTTCTGCATAAAACAACAAGCTCCATGCTAGCAACGGCTCCTCTGGTTTGTTAAGATACCCAACTTCAGAAACAGCAACAGATCCGCTTCTCATTCCCCTCTGTACAAGGCGAAATGTCCAAAACAAAGGGTTGGGATTGCCTTGTGCTCATTGATTTTGTTTCTGGAGCAGCGTGAACGGGAGGCTCCTCCTCTGCTCCCGAGTCCTGCGGGCGAGCAGCCCCCTGGCGCACAAGAGATTTTGCAATCCCTTCCTGTGGCGCTAGTGGCCAAAACCCGTTTGGAAAAACACCCCTGGCCTGACCTTTCCTCCACAGCTAACAGCACCCAGCAAAAATGAAAACAATTTGTGTTTCCAGAGGCGGCCTGTCACCGCGGCCCTCTCAGGGCCACGAGCTGTGTGCGGCCTCAGGACCTGATCCCGCCTGAGCAGCGCCCGGGGCTGTAGGGAAGCTCAGTCCCCGCCAGCCTCCCAGTGCGATGGTGCCTGCACGAAACCTGCTCGCCCACCCTGTGCAGGTGACTGATGAGGGGCAGCAAGGACTGTACACAGAGGCACACAAGCCAAGACGACAAAGAAATTCACTTTTGCTCCGCATAACCTGAGGGGGTTTTGCGCCACAGACTGACACACGGCAATACATCTTTATTTTGTTTGACACTATCCCCGCTCTCCATCTTTCCCCCCCATACTCGGGGGCTCAGAGGGCCGCATTCCTCACGTGACTCGCACAGAGGGACATTTTCAGAGCGGGCGGGCGAGGGGGCCGCTGCGCAGCTGGGAGCGGGATACCCCACTGCCGGGCAACACTGCGGCGATGCTGCCCAGGCCTCTCCGGGGAGGGAGCCGCTTGCCCTGCTTGCAGGGGCAGATTGCTTCAACACTCCCTATTTCTTTGATTGCCAACTCCCAGCACTGAAAAAGTCAAAAGTCAGCCTCGAGAAGAGCCTAAAAGGCCCTACTGCTTTTTTTTTTCCCCATTATTTTTATTTCTATCGACGTTTTGGGCACAAGGGAAGAAGAAACATTTTCATGACTTTCATCCCGCCCGCGTCTGTTTCTTCACTGCAAACTGAGACCGTGCAATAACTGCTTCCCTTCCAAAGACTGAATTTTTAAAGAAAAACATGAAATGCTGCTAGTCATCTTAGCATCTAGTCATGCTAGTCATCTTAGTCATCAGCAGGGCAACATCAGCAGGGCAACATAAAGATCAACAGGGTTTTAATCACATAAGCTTACCCCTGCATTTTACATTAGTAATTATTTTAAATTGCTCGCAGGCACATGAGGCTATTGAATCGGAGGACCAAATCCTGCTCTGGTGCAACACTAGAGTCAACACGAGCAGCAAACCTGGCTTCCTTGTGAGTGAACCTTGGTGAGGAGTGGTAGAGACGATGTGCTGGGCTCTATCTTACACTGAAAATTTGGAAGACTAGGAGACAGGGTTCCTACTACCCATGGGCTTTGAAAGGCACTGCCGCTCTGGCTCTTGGGCTTCCCCACGATCTTGCTCTCTTACTAGCAGGGAAACTATTGACCAAGACATCCCAGAAACTCTTCAGCCCTGAGCAACAATGAGATGCAGCAAGACAGGAGGTGAAGAAGCCCAAATCCCAAACATTGAAATGCATCCACGGCTTCCCCCCTCTGCTGAAAACCACCAGAATAAGCAACGAACTCTGTTGTATGCACAATGCCAGAGCACTCAGCATTATTTATCTTACTACTGGGTGACGTATTTCACACCAGTTAGTTTTACCCTGTGGACGAACAAGATTTCAGCCTCAATCATATAAACACAATTACTAACCTTAAGCCTAACTTCCAGTCAGCAGGACTCCTCATACTTAAAAATCAATTGCATATGCATTTACCAAACTAGAGTGTAAGCACTGCCTGTACATACCCCTATTAAACTGCAGACACTTCTAAAATGGAGGATGATAATTATCTCCAGTGGAAGCACCTATCCTCAGCACAGCACCAACACATTAAATTTGCAACAGTATAAAATCTCCACGCTGAAGCACATGCTGGTACATTTACTAGTATTCCTTCAGACTTGCTATGATAAATAGCTTTCAGATTTATATCCAAACCACATGCAGCAGGATTCATCTCTAAGGTCTGGTAAACCTGTGGCAGTATTGCTTTAAAGGGAACTTGCTTCATAAATGAACATTTGCAAAGAAACTGTATTCCGCAAAAACTTGCAGGTAGACAACAGAACGAAAACTGATTTTAAAACAAAATCAAATTCACACTGTGTCTTTCAAAGTAAAAATCGGAATTAACTTGCTAAAATTACAGCTCCTGTAAAGTAAGATCAACTTTATGAAGCTGAAGCCAACAGAAAAGGAAGCCAATTTATAGCTTCCAACATTGACAGAGGTGAAATAGACTTCAAATCTATTCAATCTTCAGAGTTTTTAAACTCTGATTTTTCCTTTTTTTTCAAGAACGGCAGCACCACGAGCCCCTCTGACACACACAACCCCTAGACAACCGCTACTGAGTCACTTGGGTCAGGGCCACGGTAGGGCACCAAGGAACAGCACCTTGGAATTCCTTATGCTTTAGAAGCTGCAAGCCAGGACTGCTGTACTTGATAAAGGTGTTTTGTTGTGGTGCGCTCTTTCATAACCCATCTTGTAATTTATCACTTCCCAAATCCAAAAGTCTCCACTGAATTTGTGCCAGACAGCACTAAAGCCAAGGCTTTAATGTGACCTGGAGTCTGTGCTGGCGAGACTCTGGCTCCTTAAGCACTAAATGCTTGCTCTGATCTGCTCTGAGCCTCCTAAAGGGCACAGCCTCTGCCTCAAATCACAATTAGCTGAAGCCACTAGACCAGACATCCAACACCTACGCATCATTTTCCTTATGGAATAGTTCCTTAGATTACACTCTGAGGTGTGAAAAAACAACTTCCCCTTCCTCTGCACAGCACACTGAGTGAGTCCATGTGAGTAACACATATGCAATATTTTGGGTTTTTTGTCTTTTTTTGTTCTGCAGATCATTTGTTCAACTCAAATAAGGCAAATATCTGATTTTCCCCACATGGGAAGAGGACAGTCACAATAATGCCCAATTACAACAATCTCACAGAACTTACTTAGTCAGGAGGATCAGAATCAGGGGAAGGAAAAAAAATTAACAAAATTAAAAGAATTCCGGGCCCTTGTTTCTAGATTTCTCTGAGAGAACTTGAGGAGGACTTTGCTGCCATATTGCTATATCTGGTAAGACAGCAAAAGCTAAAGTTACAAAATCGCTTTGCAGAAGAGAGAGAAGAAAAAGTTTTTAAAAAGGGTAAAATGACATTAAAAGTAGTTTGCGTTTAAAAATAGCAACTTTTCCAAATCCATTCTCCTTCACTCCTAAAATATAAACCTGCCAGTTCAGGGAGAAAGCAACAGGAATTAAAACATTTCCTCCTATTTCTCATGGGGTTTGAACTTGTTTTTACAGTGATTTTTATTCAGACACAACCGTAGCCCTGCTGCCCAGGGAGACTTATTAAGCTAGATCTTTCTCAAAGTCTCCATGGGCTTCTGCTCTTGAACACCAACTCCACCAACCAGGACTAATGCCTGGATTTTAGGATTTTATCCCAGTTGAATAGGGTGCGGATGAATAAAATTACTTCTTATATAAAATCCATCTGAATTG